TCACAGGCAGCCCCAGACTTCCTGTCGGAGGTGAGGAACCATTTCAATCCACAGAGCATCAGCCGTCAGGGAGATATTCTCAGATAACGTGGCCTCCATCTTTGTTTTCTTCTCAGGATTCCGGAGTTTAAACCCTCCCCTCACCATCGTTCGGAAGACGTTCGAGTCGACGGAGAACCCGGACGACTTCCTTCCGTCGGTGATGACGTGTGTGAACTACCTGAAACTGCCGGATTACTCCAGCATCGAGATCATGCGCGAGAAACTGTTGATTGCTGCGCGCGAGGGCCAGCAGTCTTTCCATCTGTCTTGATCTCACCCTCCTGCACCCTCTCACTCAAAATGGCCTTTAATCAACTCACTGCAGAACCACACAAATCGTGACTTCTTCCTTTAGAGTTCCTCTTCCTCTTTCATTTTTTCTTTTCCTTTTTCTTTCCGTTTTTTTTTTTTTTAAACAAACACCCACACTGAGGAAAAATATGTACAGCCTACTTGTTTAAAGAAAAGCAGCTTGCAGAAACTAAACGATAGAACATAAGAGACTTCCTTTTGACTCCTGACCAGGAGGAAAGGGTGTTATGCGACTCGTCAGATAAAAAAAAAAAACGGAAGAAAACTTTTTTTTAAAGAAACGAAACTTCAGAGCAGATTATAAAATATATCAGTAGTTGAGAGATGTTCAAGCCGAAAAAAAGAGGAGAAAATCTGGGTGACGTTTTAAAACTTGCGTTGCTGTCTGATGTATCAAGAAAAAAAAGGGATGTTTTTTTTTTTCTCCTGGTGAATGACATCTTCACTGTGTGTTCCTGTTAGGGAGGGGGCATCCATCAAGCTGGCGAGGGTTCCTATAGCTCCAAAGATCATTTGTACAGACAAACATTTGCAGATTTTGCTTATTCGACACATTTGATAGAATAGCTGTGTGCTCTCCTCCCCAGTTTCCCCTCTGTTCTGTATTATACCCCCGAACGTCTTGTTACATTTTGGTTCCACTTTGTTTAATTTCTCTTGTGTCTCCTTTTTATTTGAGAGAATTTTGAACGTGTAAGAGAGTTCCAGTTGGTTGAATGCGGGTAGTGTTGGAAGTGTAGTATCTTTATTATATTATTATTATTATAATTATTATTATTATTTTGGTTTGTTTTGGTTTTTTTAACCCAAGTTGAAATTGTTTTCTGGCCGACATTTCACATAAAGTGTCAGCTCCATGTTGAAAAGATGTTTCCATTGTGTTGGATGAATAGACTCCTATATGGTTATAGTAGTGTGCCTCTGCTGGACTTCTGGGGACTTGAGGTCTTAACGATGGGCCTGCTGAAGTTGCTTGGCTGGTGAAGCCGGGCTTTATTCCCGTAATGTAGCTGAGCACAAGAAATTCATTTAAAAGAATTGGCTGGTCTTATTTTATGGTTTCATGGCCAGATAGCATTTCAGAAAAAAAAAGAAAAAGTTCATTAAATAAAATAAAGTTTATATGCAGTTTTCACACCCGGTTTGAGGTGGGATTGCCTGCTTTTTTGTTTAATTTTCTATTGTTTCTTTTTTTCCTCTTGCTGTAGTTTATTTTTGCACTGCTGGCTTGGAACAAACCGTGGTGTGCTCTGCAGTCTGTGGCCAGGAGGAGGTGCTGCTGTGCGCTCTCCTGTCCTCATTGTTCATGTGCTGGTTTCTAAGATCTGCAATAATTTACTGCATCAGGTTCATGTTTTTACCTGAACATAAATAAAGTAATTGTTTGACTCAGTCTGTGCTGGTGTTGGTTAAAGTCTAAAATGAACCTTGTCAAGGGTCAAAAGCAAATGAGTAGTTGCCTCTAGTCAGTGAAGAGTATGATACTGAATGAGCAGTATATGAGTTTAAAGTACCCTGATGAAATAATTTAGCTAGTTACAGATATGACAGAAATGCAATTCATTTGCTGTATTTGAGCTATGAATATTGGTTTGTGTGCTTATTTGGGGAGGGTGTGCATTTGAAATGCCAACAAAAGCATCAGGCAGTAACTAATATGTGACCCTGGACCACAAAATCAGTCATAAGGGTCAATTTTTCGAAATTGAGATTTATAGAACATCTGAAAGGTAAATAAATAAGCTTTCCATTGATGTGTGGTTTGTTAGGATAGGACAATATTTGGACAAGATACAGCTATTTGAAAATCTGGAATCTGAGGGTGCAAAAAAAAAAAAAAATCAAAAGATTGAGAAAATCGCCTTTAAAGTTGTCCAAATGAAGTTCTTAGCAATGCATATTACTAATCAAAAATTAAGTTTTACGGTAGGGAATTTACAAAATATCTTCATGGAACATGATGTTTACTTAATGTCCTAATGATTTTTGGCATAAAAGAAAAATCTATAATTTTGACCCATACAATGTATTGTATGCTATTGCTACAAATATACCCCAGCGACTGGGTTTGTGCTCCAGGGTCACATATTAAGTTTTTTTCTGTACAATATAGTACATTTTTGTATTAATATTATTGTACTGTTAAAATTAATTATTAACAACATTAAGATTACAGTGCAAATATTTATGGCTGTCTTCATTTATTTGCTTTGAAACGTTCAACCATAGAGCTTTTATTCTGGTGGGAAAGCACATTGCAAATTTGGGAGGAATGTTGACTTGTGTTATGTTTTTCACATGCACAGCACTCGCAAAGATCAAGTTTGCGTGGAGCAAAATGAGCTAACGACTTTAACAAGGATTCATTTAGATGTCATTTATACAGTGACTTTGCATTATTTTACATTTGATTAGTGAATTTCAATGACCTGGTCTTTCAATTTCTTGTTAGACCTATTTGGAAAAGTCTCTTGATTGACGAAATTGGCACGACTTAAAGGAGAAGTTATTTTCTGAAAATGTACTCTCCCTCAGGCCATCCGAGATGTACTGTAAATGAGTTTATTTTTATCAAAACAAATTTACTGTAGCATTCTATCACTTGACCTCCAATGGATCCTCTGCAGTGAATGGGTGCCGTCAGAATGGGAGTGTTTGATCTGAAACATTAAAGTGACAAACATGCCAAAAAATAAGAAATCAGGAAGGGGGCCAACACCTATTCACACCACTGTGTCCGTATAGTGCGTGGCGTGGCGTGGGGGGACCATGTCAATATGTTCCTCAACATTTTAGTGTACTTGTTTACCAAGGAAACAACCAGAGTGAGATCATATCGTCGTCTGAAACAAAGAAAAATCAAGGTAAATATCTTGTAAGCAGTGTTTAGTTTTGTGAAACAAAAACATTCAAAAGGTTTACGGATTGTGTGTTTAGGATACAAAGAATGTCAAATGTAATTTCCACCACACAATGTTATTAAACCACTATGTATAATTTGATACGTGATGGAAATGTTGAAAAATGCGAATGTAACGAAGTCTCCCTCCAGGACCTCAGAAATGCACCTGTTGCTAAATGTGAGTCCAGCTCTGTCCACGCGGCGGCGGATCCCGCCCACAGCTCTCCGCTGACGGGGAAATACCACCGCGTCCTGCGGGAGAAGGTGTCGGGACCGTGAGCATCTCGCCGTGGACTCTTCAGAAAACCAACGTTTCGCATTCTTGTTTTCATATCGGCTGCAAAGCCACGGACTGCTGGACAGATAGAGGGTGAGTGACCTTGAGTATTTTGAGAGCCTGTATTTGCTCATATGATGCTTGAGGAATGTGTTTTGATATCAGCTTGTCCCAGCAAAAGTTGATCTGAGGGGTGCGAGAAACATCCATCTGCTTGCAATATGATTCCGAGAATTCATGCATGTCGATGTGTTCAAATTTGGACTTACGGACGCGGTCACTCTGAATACACACACAATCACGTGCAAAGGATCTCAATACAAAATTAATAATAGCCTTATTAAAGTTGTTGTGTTTGGCAGATATGGTTCGTATTCTAGCTTTAATGCGACATTGTGCGGTGCACTCTGTTGATGTGCGGCTACCGTCAGGCTTGAAGGATGAGTAAAGCACGGTGATCTTGAATTATAATTCATGTTGCAAGGTCTGCCTTTTTCAGTGAATTGATTGAACCGGTTCTTCGCGTTGTCATTAAGAAAGGCAAATGACTTTAATAACAAACTAGAAGAAATGTTACTAATAAAACGAATTGGAATAAAGTTTACCTCTGTGTAGCGGTTTTATCAGCACACTAAAACTACGACACACTGCTTTATTGCAACTCTTAGTCATTCTTGAGACGTGGGACAAAACGGGTCCAGCAAGGGTAACTGCTATTAGCTTTAAAAAATAGAAATATTTTACAATTTAAATGTCAGGAGGGATTAATAATAGAATGTATTTAACACAATTATCACCTTTTAATAAAATTCTCATCCAAATACACACACAAAATTATGATCTTTAAAAAAGCATCATATGACCCCTTTAATGTCCTCTCACTACATCTAAAACACTACATCACTACACCTTATCCACAGAGAAGGGTTCAATCATTCATATGCAATAAAATTGATAAAAAAAAGTTTTTAATGATGATAAATAGCTTGTTTTATCAAAAGCAACACTTAATAATATCTCATATCAAATCAAGGTTGTTGTTTTTTTTAATGACACATGCATGTTTCATAAGATTTTAAAGTTGCGTCCCCACTTTGTCAACACCGTCAGACATTCAATAAAATGTAATAAAATCAGAGAATATCAGGGACAGCTGTCACTCTAAAGGTCCCCTTTGCTACAGTTCACCTCTGCAGAGTACAGCAGTGTCAGACAGGCTCTGCTAATTTTTATAGTTTTAGAATATTTTAAATCCTAATGTTAATGTTTCCTGTGTCACAGCCATGATATGTCAACACCATCTTCCTATTTCTGAGGAAATTATTTGAAATATCGAGAATTTTATTCTCCTGAAGCAGGTTCCGTTAGCAACAGAAAAAAAGAAAACGGCTACTACATGAACTCCACTGGTTTTGTGAAAAATGTCAAATTTGTCAACACCGTCAGATGTCACCACCATAAGATCTTGTGTTCCAATGATATATCAAAATACTTCAATGTGACTCTTGAATAAAAGCTTTATAAACAATAACATACTCACTGTTTGTTGTGTTTGTTTTAATACAGTAATTGACTGATTCAATGTATTTGATTTAAAATTACTACAAATTCAGGTTTTCGTCACATCCGTCAGATGCGTCAACTCCGTCAGTTAAATATTTTGATAAGATTTCATTATGATATTTTATATTTGTTGTGCAATTATTGGTCATATGTGAAAGTGTAATCTGTCTGCTAACACCAGAATGTGTTTTGAAATGTTAAAAACATCTCGAATGCTGTTAAAGATAAAGTTGAAATTATATTACACAGTCCAAGGTAAAAAAAAAAAAGCACATTTTGTTAAAAGAGAAATGTTGGGAGGTTGTATCAAAGCATAGCTCAGTACATATGAGATACATATATGTAGTTTCATTTGTCTGAGTACAAGGTTTTATTTTTTTCAATTTTGCACCCTGTTTTGTCCCACTTCTCAAGAATGACTGGCGATGCTAGAGGTTTATGAACCGAATCATTGAATCGAACGGTGTTCAAAACACACAAATGAGTTGCACTAATTTTCACGGGCATTTCATCGAACATTCAGACTGGGATGAGGAGGCCGTGCAAGCTCATAGAAAAAGCGGGCTGATGAAGGAGAAATGTGTTTTTTTTTTAATTTTTTTTTTTTTATGTCCTAACACCGTACTAAACAACTTGCTGGTTAATTAAAACTTAATTCAAAGCTGGTCTCTTCACACAGACAGAGGTAACTTATGTGACTATGTGACTTCTAATTAGGGATGGGCGATACCCCTTGTTTTCGATACCGATATTTTTCAAGGCAGTATCGTCGATTTCGAGATTTCGATACTTATACCACTAAACTTTTAAATTATGAAATTTTATTAAATTCCCAAGAGTAAAATGGGTAATGAAAACCACTTAACTTTGTTTAAAATGCATTCTAACCGGTTTAATCCCAAATTTTTCCCAAACATGAAAATATCCAAATGATGTGTCATTAGTAAACCTTTGAAATCAATTTTTTTTATTTTTGTTTGGAAAAGTGTGTGAAATAGTATTTTATGGTCAGTCACAATTGCAACCGGCGGGATAATGTGTATACTGAATTAACATATTTCTGCAGTCTTAAAAATTGTTATATAGCTTAGCCCAGCTATTTTAAACTGTTGATCACATTCTAGGGTTACTATTATGCATTTAAAAAACCCTTATACAACATTGATAGGAATACTGAGATCAAATACAACCATCAGCGTATTTCAAAATTGTTACTTTTTGGTAGCATATATCATTTTATTTTTATATTAGTGCTACCAGTATTACAACATTAACATTCTAACTTATTTGTAACATTTGAACTTTTGATTTAGTGCAATATTTTGGACTGCCAGTGACAGGCTGTTGCATGCATAAAATGTAAAATTTTTATTCGGACAGTGTATGATTTCTATTAACATTACAGAATAGAACATGATCAATATTATCTTTCAACGTTCAATTTAAATAATTGTAATTGC